GTATCGTACAATGAAACTTTACAATGCGAGTATATTTGTAAAATTATGTGCAAGAATTTCTGTTCAGAATTTCCCGTGCAGGATTGTCTGATCCTGCACGGCTGTTGACCAATCAAATTGCGTGTTTCACTGTAGTTATTATATAATGTGACTTCTTTGTTCCTGACCAATGACTCGTAGAATTCAAATTAAGCTTCACCTTAATTTTTTAATTCTACTTCATCATTGGTCAGTTCACAAAGAAGTCACGTGAGACTTTAAAGCAATGTGTCCATGAACAGCTTGACAATGTGTCAAAACACAACACAATTTATTTGTTTACATCTTGATAAGATAACAACAAATGTTCCCCAAAATTAGCGGAATGTTCTATTGGTTTATTATAAAACCTTTGGAATGTGGTTTCACAGGGACCATCAGCTGCTTTCATAATAATATCAATTGGCAGTTTTGTAGAGGATGCTGCAGATGTGGATGCAGAACGAGTGCTGTGTGCACCATAACAACTTGTATCAATACCAGCTTTTTCCATTGCAGTTTTGATCCATCTTGCAATAGTATCTTTGCTTACTGGCTTATGTGGTTTGTTAAAACTAAGCCATAACTCATTATTTCCATCTCTCACCACACTTGTTTTAAGCAAGTATTGCTTGAGGCATGTCACCACGCACAGAAGCTTGTCAACTGGGTATGCTTTAAATACTAGTGGTTTAATATGCTTTCCAGGCTTGGAAGTCTTTAGCAGAGTATTAATTTCAAATGTAATTTGGTTATCCAATTGTTTCATACCACTCAATGTGAATGCATGTACAGTTTGACATCGATGACCAGATAACAAAACAACCAACATAACTGTTTTAAATGTTAAGTCTTTTAGCTTTAACTCCTCAACAGATCTCATTGTTCCTAAGTAGTTCAATACGTCAGAAACGTTCCATGTAGCTTGATATCGAGGAAGAGAGGGCCGAGATTCGAAAACACCTTTCAAAAATCGGGTTACTAAGGGATGACTGCCAAATGATTGGCCTGTGGGAAAAGACCATTTCCTGCTGATGATTCCTTTCCGATAATGAATCTTGAATGAAGATCATCTAGCGTCACCAATGAATGGTTTGTTACATATAGACATAATCCTAAGGAGGAATTGATATTATTGAATGGTGATTATGCACTATATAGTCAATCGAAAGCCCGGCCCCCCGGACTAAACGGGTTACTGGGCCTAAACATTTGGGTGTTTTTTTTTTCAAATTTCCGCAGTTTGATAAAAAACCTAACATTAATATTTCCATTAAAACTCCGCCAAAGTTATAAAGAATAATACATGGGTGCGCGGAAATACCAGATTTATTTCGAGTGTTGAACATGATATCTCACGAATGAGGGCAGCGAACGAGTGAGATATCATGTTCAACACGAGAAATAAATCTGGTATTTCCAAGTACCCATGTATTTTTCTGTTTATTATATAAACAAAATTCAGTGAAAGACAATAAAACGTCCGTGGCAATGCGTTTTACAACAAATGATATTTTCACACGTAAAAATATCGTATTTTT